GATTAAAATTGCATTGACATTGGTTTCAAGAGTAAGCACCCTGATCTCATTTCAAGAGAAATATCTCCATATTTGTTTATCCAAATCAATTTTTAACTTCACTTGTAGTGTGAACAAGTCTTAATTCTTAGTGAATAACGCTCATCGGTGGGGGATCTAACAACTCAACGCTTTTATCGTAAGTAATGGAATAAATTAACATAATCTTTAATCTAGTCGCTATTTGGTACTCAATCTAAAACATATTTATTGTTCAAATGTTGTAATTGTGGCAGATCCACGACATTATGAAGATCTCTTTAATAATTTGGGAAACCTGAACATTGAATATTAATATCATTTATGTACCTATATTTATCGATCGAATTGTTAGTATTTATTTATTGTGTACTTATTAATATTATTTGGACATCAGCAGATACTATACGTATGTATATATTTACTGTTAATATTGTATGCCGATGATTTCGCTTGTTCGTTGTTTTCGTGTATATTAATATTTTTAACCATTAATTTAGCTTTTTTATGTTATACTAACTTTACTATGTTGTTATACTAAAGTTTACCAAGGGAAATACTTTGAAATTATTTAATAGGAGGGTCTTAAAAAATAGCAATTGTATTTGAGGTCATTTTGAAACACACTTCATTGAAAATACCTACTATCAATACAATTTTTGATATGCAATGTATGTAGGGTTGACCCAGAAAAATATTTTATAGGTACTTAAACTAAATTTCTTAGTGTCGCCACTGAAAAACCTGTTCATGTTGTAACTCAAAATAACTATCTATAAATCACTGGATTAATCGTTCTTCCTGAAGTTGCTTCCTCTTATTTTACGAGAAGATATTAGAATTGTTTTTATTGTGCGTTATTTCCCATTGCTAAACTTTACCATACCATACTACACGTCGTCCCTTCCTAACCGCAACCTTGGTACAGGAGCGACCCTGGCGGGTCTCCCGGCGGGCACCCTGTACCGTGTCCGCGCCACGTACCGCTACACCCGCGAGGACTCCGACGAGCTCTCCTTCGACGTCGGCGAAGTTATACGCGTCGTGGAATACGATGATCCTGATGAACAGGTATGATGTGCTATCTACTGTTCCCATTTATCAATAGCTCGTATGTAAAGACCCTTTGTCGAGCAGTAGACTATCACTAATTTTCACGCTTAGCAGGCAGATTGGAGACCATAGGTTAAAAGCTTTGGAGAACTTTAATGCTCGGTCTCTGTCTAATGAATGACTGGAAGAGTAGGAGGGGTAACAAACTGTATTCTACTTTGTCACAACTACACAGTTAGCTTATTGAAATCATTGTTTAGGTCACATTATATGACTGCTTTTTATTCTCTACGAAGAATAATCAAAATATTCTCTTTCCCAGTGACGTTACCATGGTCTCAGAAACTCTTGAAGCTAATTATTAAACTGTAATTTAACCAATTAATTTGAGAGTAAAGATATTGTAAGGAGGATGGTTGACACTTCAGGTGATCGAAGGGCTGGTTACTACCTTGGGCAAAGGTTAAGCATTGCCATTCAACGTGGCAATGCTGCCAGTCTTTTGGGCACCCTACCTCACGGTAGCGATGAGGAAAATGTTTTCTTTGATGCCTTATGATTTATTTTTATTATTATTTTTTTTTTGAAGGTGTAAATATTTTAGTTTTAAATTATTTTTTTTATATTTTAAGTTGTTTAAATTAACAGTTTTTATGGTGTTAAATATATGTTTGTTTGGATTTTCATAAATAATTATGATAAAATATTTAAGAGTTGTATATTTTTATATAAATTGCTTTAATGAATTTCCAGGAGGAAGGCTGGCTGATGGGCATCAAAGAATCAACCAATGAGAAGGGAATGTTCCCCGCGAACTTCACGCGACCGATATGAAGCGCCGCAGTGTGACGTCACCATTCATCACTAACTAAAATATATAGGTAACAACCGATTTGTACTACGAACTTTATACACTATGATTTTGATTGTATTGTAATCATTAATCATTTTCTTTTACGTTTCAATTAGTTAACGATTCAAAAATCTATGTTATAACTTAGTATAGTTGTTGAATGTTCATAGATTATATATTATTTATTATTTTTTGTGTTGTATTACAACGAATTATGATAAATCGTAACCGTTTAACAGCGTTTGTATATACAGTGTATGAGTAACTTCGTATCATCATTTAGTCACTGCTCGGTGTAGGGTTAATTATGTAACTTATTGATTATTCCATGTCACATTTTAGTAGGAAACATTTTTGACAACGAGAATCATATCAACTCTAAGTTATTCATTCAATGCAATTTGAACCTTACCCCATTGCATTAATGTTATGTAAGAGTATCAAATGTGTTTCCTACTCAACTCTACCAATATTTATGACAATAATCTTAAACGATTATTAGATAATATTAAATATAAAAATCGAAATTGCTCATTGTGTAACAAATAAATATATTTTACATTCAAAGTGACCTTAAATTTTATTGAATAATATAAATTAAAATATTGACGAACAATTCGAATAAGTGTTTTAAAGTTATAAAGTATGTATTCAGTATTATTTGTTTTGTATCAGTTTTGTTTTAACAGAAACAGTCCATTTTTCTTTTGGTGTAAAAATGCAAATTTCTGATTAAGGAATTATTTTTGAAAAAGTCTTAAGAGTAAATAAACTCTGCAACCTTTCTGCTCTATATATAAATCATTTGAGATTATGTACTATTAAGTTTTTGCAGCATTTAAAGGCTGCTTTGTAATCTTTGCCTTCCAATTATTATCTTATATTATTACATTTCCGACGACGCATTTCATTTCATTTTCTTGATTGCATTTTCAAAGCGATGTCTTAACACATAATCATTAAAAAGGTTAAGTTTTAATGTATATACAATTGATTTTAGATTTTTTTGTTGACCCCCGTATATCATATTGTTAATATAACATAGGGACTAAATCAATCGAATATTATAACTTTTGAATAAACATTTTTAAGTAGGTTATATCGTTTTGTTAAATTATAACTGTATTAGAAACAGATACTAACTATGTATTAGTGCTTATAAATAACATCAGGATTTATAGTTTACAACTGAAGATATTTATGAATAAATTATACATTAATTATCAAGGATAAAATGTTCAATGCTCGAATTTTTTTAAAGTGTCTCGAACATTACTTGGTTTATTGATAAATACCTTCAGATTGATAAATTTTTTTAGAACAGACTTTATGTGCCCAGAACAAACATTGATATTATCGCCAGTGTCAAATGAGGTGCTTTGAAAGTGTACATAATTTATATATTTTACACTTTAATCCCATATTTTTAGAATAAGATGGTTTGTATTGTGTTCCATTTTTAAAATCAACTTCCCAAATATTTCCTGTTGCCAACATTATTGAAAATAGGTAGGCAACACTGACGATTACAATATTTTATCATTTATACTTTTTTGTGGGGAAGGACCCGATACAACGTGCTCCTTGCGTGTGGAATTATGAAAAAAAAATGTAAACTAGTTTTATTTAACAATCTTATAATGAATGACGAGCCACTTTAACGTACAGCCAGCGATTAGTAGCTAAAAGTGTAGCTCCACCTTTCATCGATCATTGGAACAATCAACTTTTATACAAATTTATGACCTATTGACCTTATCAAGTTTTGAATATCAATTTTAAAGAACGACTGAAGTTTTTGTAGGCAAAGTGTTGAAATGTTGCGATATTGTGTAGGAGTACAATCCGACATGTTGAAAGTTGTGGCTTTATCGTCAGTGCCATGCAATGTCCATATGTAATGTTAATTTATAAGTTTGTTAGGACTTGTACAGTTTTTACAAGTGGAAAATAAAATATTTCGAAAATTTTTGAGTTTTATTTTTTCCTATAATACATTGAATACAACCCTTTGTTGACATCAAAAGCCTACAAATAAATGGAGATAATTAGCTGAATTAAATATGCTGGTATTACTAAACAGTAAGCAAGAGAAAGACATCAACTATTGAGTGGACAGTGGGGAAACAGTACCAATTCAAAGCCGCGATAAATAGCTATATAGTTATCTACAAAGAGGGAGGGTAATAAACAATTCGTAAGTCGCGAGTGGGCCAGGGATGCAGGAGGCTTCGGTTGGAGCAGATGATCTGGGCCTTTAGCCAAACGCCCCTTTAGCGCTTGACTACAGACTACAGAGAGAGTTGAAATCAAAATATATGGGAATGACACTGACAAGTGTCAAAATTTACGTCAATTCCATATAATTTGGTTTTCTATTCTACATGTAGACAAGCGCTAAATGGCATTTGACTACAGCTGCTGAGTACAACGGGGTGGTAGTTTCTTAACCCTTCAGCCACTAACATTCTCATTGTCCCGCTGTTGCTATATCTAACAACCATTCCCGGGACCCAGTCGGTAAGTTCGCTAGTCTCCGCCTGCCATTTTTAAGTGTAATATTTAGATTGTTTCCAGTTTACCGGTCCACAGCAACCCACCCACTAACCGGAGACTGTCCTTGGGTGTATTTCCATAGTGCATATAAGGATAGTCGCCGGTTTGTGTGTCCATTACATTTGGATTAAAGTTCTCTAAAGGGCCTCTGCGCAGTTGGTCTAGGCCCCTTGTACGCCTCCCAAATGACCGGGACCCTGTGGTCCCGTGAATGGTAAAGACATACATTCAATCGTAAACGATATCCTTCGGAGATTAGAAGGCATGCTTAAAATTATGTTATTTTAATAATACACGAATGGTACTCTATAGTAAAAAAATACAGGCATGATGTTTCGTTTCCATTTTCCGCATGAGAATGTAAACAAAACAGAAAACTGTAATTTCCGGACGAACAACTGACAATCAAACGCTTTTCGTTTCACGCATAAAAGTGAGTATGAGATTGACATTTCCTTGAAAATCAATACCGCGAAGTGTCAAATAACAAAAGTGTTATTTTCAGAGAACGGAACGACATTGTATGATTGATTGGTTTTAAGAATTTTGGACTAAAAATTTACGAGAATTTTCTGTGAAAACATGGTGTATTGTTTGAAATATTTGTCCATGATGTGCCAATATGTAGTTAGAGTATCCCGGTAGCTAACTAGAAATGTTCCTGGCGAACAAAGTGAGTATACAAATAGTATTAAAATATGTCGCACTTACCGAAAAACACTTGTGTTCATTATTTTCAAAACAATTTTCCTTGTTTACAGGAGCTTCAAGTGCTTTAGTGTCTTGAAGAACCAATGAGGTGAGTAAATAAACAGTAATTTAATATATTTGCACAATTGCTGATTTGACTGGGCGGGTCTTGATTTATTTACTTCCATAATTCTTTTTTTAAATTTTGTTACCTCTATTTTTTTGTTATTGTTTATGTTTACTTTATTTTTTTTATACTCTCAGGGTTTCACAGAGTTCTCTCGATAGTTTGGAAGATATGGCTGAAAGACGATATTCCTTTTCAGTAAGTGTTTTCTGATTTATTTTGATTTCTTTGTTTTTTTGTTTATGTAGAAATAGATGTGATGTTTACTTACATGATAAATTAATTAACAGCTAGCAGCTTTTTTTTACAAGAAACTCTTCTTTATAAAGGTATTAAGATACATGCCATGCACATTCCTAAATTTAAAAAAAAAATAATTATGCTTGTTGCACCTTCGCATTTAAAAATTCAATACTTTATCTTAGTAATTAATAAACATATTTGGGTGTAATTTAGGCACTAAAAAATTTACCCTATGGGAGGAATGGTGATAATGGAATCTCATCTGGGATTTTTGTCTTTCATTAACATCTGAATGGAGTGCAAAAATATATTAGTCTTATGTGTACAAATTTATCTATCTATATCTATAAATAAAAATGAATTTTCGTTCGTTCGTAAAATTCGAGAACGGCTGGACCAATTTAGCTAATATTGGTCTTGAAATGTCCATGGAAGTCTAGGAAAGGTTTAAAAGATGAGAAAATTTTTTAGATTGTACGAACTTTGTCGGTTCAGCTACTCGTAAATAATATAAATATAATAAAATAAATTCATCAAACTGCTCAATTCCCAAGAACATTCTCCATTAACTCCATTTAAGACCTTATTGACGATGTTTAAAGACTACTTTTGCATGAACAAATTTTACGTACGTAATTTAGACTAAATTAACACGTTAAACGCCATGGCAGTCACCGGTGACCTATATTAGCGGAGGATTTGCCTTTAACAGTTTTTTATTGGCAGCCAAAGCTTTAATAAAAGAGGCATTTACAAAATGCATGATCATATACAATCTAATCCAGAGCAAAGTTAGCAACTAGATATTGTGCCAACAGCCAACAATGGAAGTTGGCCATTCAAACTAGTTGTGGAGTTTTAGCTTCAAACTTTATATCTGTGCAATTGTGCTGTTACATGTCATGTAGCTGTATTCACTGTTAAAACTTGTTTTACATAAAATTTAATATAACATAGTTTACTGAATGACTTTCTTTTTAATTGCTATTTAATTAATGGAATACATATCTATAGAGTTAGACAATAAGCAAATTGGGTACTAGCCAACAAGTCAAATTCAATACTTTTTTCGGACTGTCAAAAACTACAGTTTTCTATGAATTTATTACGAGATTATGTATTGTGACGCCACGTCGTTTCTTTGACTTCCAATAAATGACAATCGAACATAGACATACCTAATACGGTAGATGCCTAATTTGTATTTTGATGTCCGTCTGGTAGATTATTTTAAATCATTAGACATGTATTTTTTTTTTCTTACAGAAACGAATACTTTCGACGATATATTGATTTGAAATGTCGCGTCGCGTGACGTCACTTCTATGTCCATACATTTTATACGTAGAAATGACGTTTTAGCTCTCACTCCTTAACTTTGATTCGTTTTATCCAAATATTATTTTATTATAGGTACTACAAAATAAAAAAATACGTGTCTAATATTTTTTCATTACCTAACTTACGGACTAAATAGATTTTTAATTTTCATACCCTGTCATCATCCCAATTCTGTCTTAAAATATACGAGTTCTGTAAGTCCATCATTGTGGAGTGACGTTGCGGGGATGCACTGCCTTTTTACCGTCATAAGTCACGCCCTAAAACGTCACAAACAGTTAGGAAGCACTATATCTTACCTCACAGAACTTATTTATTGCATTTTCTTTCCCAAAAGACTCTTGATGTATTCAATTTATAACATTGAATTTTCTCGAGGCACTATGTGACCACGGCAAACTCTGAACGGCGCCAAAAATAGCAACTTCTAAAAATATTTTATACTATTGAGAAACCATTAGAATAAAACTGTTAGTACCCAATTGGTAGCTGTTGCATACATACACTTATATTTGAATATTTGTAGACTAGCTACTGCCACCGGCTTTACCTGTGTAGTCGGGATAAAAAGTGCCTAGGTAAACATACGTAATGTTTTCCAACTGTAGTTTTCACGTGAAAGAGTTACAATAAAACTTCCACATTCATAATATTAGTAAAAATGTAAATAGGTATCGCGATCGCCTTCTATTATAACAATATTATACATCATCAACAGCTTATAAGTGTCCACTGCTGACCTTCTCACACGGAGAAGGTTTGAGCATTAATCACCACGCATGCTCAATGCGGGTTGGCGATTACAAACTTATAATAAAATTAGAAATTTTAAGCCCGGTTTCCTCACGATGTTTTCCTTTACCGTTTGCCAGTGGTGTCTAGATAATCTTAGAAAGTACATACAACTCGGAAAAAGCCACATCGGTACTTGCCGTTGGTAGGTATCTAATTTGGATATAGCGCAATTTATGTAGGTACCTAAAGTAAATGCACCTTCCACTGCCACACTGTAACACGGTGTTAATTATCAATTTCAGCGTCGAACCGTAAACCGCAGCTTAAGACAGGTCACCTTCGTAATAGCATCTACCTAAGTACACAAATTAGGTAGGTTACGCAAAGTTCAAACTCCTTCATAGAAACCTAAGTAAAATTCAGTACTTAATTATATATTTAAGTGAAAAGGAAGATCAAAAATCTATAGGTACATATTTTATTTCCCAGAAACATAGACAGATGTATTTTATTATAGCGACGTAGGAGATATTTATAAAGTTATTGACTGCCTCGTGAGTCGTGATCTGGTGGACTAAGGAACACAGGACTTTTACTTAGATCCTTAATAATATCTTATTATTTGGCTGGACACTTTTACAACACCAAGTTTCTCTTACTTTGACCATGAGTACAGAGTAGGTACAGATTACAGACGTCCTTAATCTTGCAATGCACTTAAAGTATACTATATTCCTTTGTAGCCAACTTCCCCACAAAATCATCCAAAAACCTTTTTAAGCAACTCTCAGTCAATCTTTCCAATATTTAAGAGCTGATACGCCGTTAACTTTGCATTTTCTTCATTAACAATAAGAAAAACTGAATCAATACCGATCTGGCAAAGGTTGCTGAGCTCGTCATGTAAAATCCATCATATTCGATCGCGGCCTTCGCTTGTGACGTCAGTTCTGTTCTGATGCTGTAAACTTTGACATTTACATTTAGAATATAGCGAACTGAATTGAGGGCGCAACGCAGTACATGTAGCTACAATATAGGTAGGTTTGAAATTGCATTTCTCTTGCAAGCTATTGTGGAGAGAACTTTGTTATACCAAACAAAGTTCTCCCCCGAAAACAATAGCACATAAAAACAATATTATGCGGTTGTTGGTCCCCGTAGAATTCACACAGGATTTTTTCCAGCACTGAAGGTAATAAGTACCTACGTCATTATTTATGTTGACCTTTTTATCACAATTAATTACTTATTTAGTAGTTTTTTTTGCAATCCTAGAAACTGTGTAAATATTTCGAATCTGTCGTGGTGGCCCGGAGGTTTAAGACGCCCACTTCTCATGCATGAGGGGGCGGGTTCGAAACCTACCAACGGCAAGTACCAATGTGACTTTTTCCGAGTTATATGTACTTTCTAAGATTATTTAGACACCACTGACAAACGGTGAAGGAAAAACATCGTGAGGAAACCTGGACTTATAATTTCTAATTATAAGTTTGAAATCGCCAACCC